TTGAAATACCTCCCACAGCAGAGTCACTTCTCGCCATGAATATCCATTGTTTACAGTAAAAGCCAACATGTGATAATGAATATCAGGAAGTATCCCGGACCTCAAATCATCTTCTGCATCAAATTCTGGACTTTGTAGAACCTTTCCCAACAATTTCTTTCTTTCTTTTACGTTGGTGACACAAAAGACATTTGGAAAGCCATGTTTACTGCTCTTGAGGCATTCGTTACCAGGGATACTCGTCTTTTAATGATCTACAATAGTGGCTCAATCAATCAGGCTTGAGTGCAAACGCTGCCTGAACATGTCTCATAACGATTTTGTCAATGCCATTTGATACTGAACTATCATAAGACCATAAAAAGCTACATGGCAGAGTGAATCATGAGCTTATATCAGATATGTGTGAATGGTTTGTGCAGTGGTGTCAGTCGGTGTTCACGGCAGAAAGATGATGAACCTTCCAGTAAATGCAATTTAGCCTGTGTAGCTGGCTTGATGTTTTGGTACGCTGTTGTCTGTTCTTTGAAAAGTGGTGAGCAGGAAAGTTTGGATTGGCGTTTGTACTATTTTCTGTCTCTTCAAGCTTCAAAGGACACACAAATCTGCCAACTACATAGAATAATGGAATTCAGTAAACTATCTGAACATGTCTCATAACGATTTTGTCAATACCATTTGTTACTGAACTGTCATGGTATATATTGAGACCAAAATTTATTTTTGTATGCTAATCTTGCAACAATATTTGGTGGTGTGCCAACATTGGTTGTTTAAGGAGCACTGCCATAAATTCCTGCATCACATCTTGGCCAACATGTCATTGGCAATGACCTATGTCTGTTTGAACAAGGAGTACCATTCCAGCTATTATGAAGACAGTCATAAAGGTAAATAATTTTGTGCCAACATTGCATGACATTATGGTATTTGGCATGTGGGTGTGTTAGCCTATATCAGGAAGCGATGACCAAGTTATGTTTTCCTCTTGTCCATGCCAAAGACCAAGGTCACAGAGTAAAACATTATGCCCAACATTAGGCCAATATTGCTTAATGTGATACATTAAATTATTGCAGTCAAGTTTGCATGACTTGACAATGATTAAATCAGCAGGTTAAAAGTAGTAACTTATTGAGTTGTAATACAATTTTTAGACCTCTGAACTCTGAAATAAAACTGATATTTTTAGTACAAATCTGCTCTATAGCTTTCTTCAGATAAATGTGGTCCTTACATTGTTACAGTTCCAGTAAAGTAGCATTAAGTAAACAGAAGCATCAATGTCAGACATCCTACGTAAAGCAAAAATGTAATTCTTTAATGGATAAGACTTTGACTTCAAAATTTCCATTCCCTTACAAAAAGTTTCTGTTTTAAAATATTATTCAAATATTATATTTTATTAACCCTTTCCACCTTAATATCTGTATGTATTTTCTTCATACTGTTTGCTAAACATTTTTCTAAGGTGCTGATAAGGAGAATTTGTTCAACAACCAAGAGCTGCTTTATTTGGTAATCATTTCCTTTATGACTTTCAAATTTGTCTCAGGGTTGATATTGTAGAAGGAAATTATATGCTGAAGTCACTATTGGGATTAAAGAGTCAAACAAAAATAATGTATGGATTAATTTTTCTTGTAAGATTAATAAGTAACTCAGGAAAAAACATTTGCAGTAAAAATTACACATGAATAACTTCAATGGGATACAAACAATGAAATTTAATAAACAACAGACTGACGATATGGCTGTGAAATAACAGTTTAATAATCACAAAAGCATTCCAGCTCTTCTATGCATTGTGCTTTGTATGAAAACTTACATTTACACTCCAGTCAAAATTAACAAGACTGTGTTCTAATACATATTACACACTCAATACAATCGAAAATGGATACATTGCACTTGACACTTGGTGATGGTTCCACCAACTAAAATATTAATTATTAAAAAACTCAAACTGATGCTATAATTAAGCAGGAACATTGTAATTTTCAAGCTACTTAATAAGCATATTAATCAATGCAATTAAATTTAAACACAGTGAATTTAATGGGATTCAACCTCAATGGGAAAATTGAGAACAAGTAAATGGACAAAAAAATTGCTAGTTTTCTCTCTTTAAATTTTTTGTTATAGCACTCCTCTGTAATTTGAATGTTGCAAGTTCTGTTCATTTTTGTAACCATGTTGCAAGTTTCAAAACATTCTGATAGCTTGAATTGTAGCCACCAACTTTAGATACTTGTATTTTCATTGATGATGTATGATGCTAGTTGAAATGAGTGGAGTGAAGTTTTGACCGTGTGACTTATCTGGGTAGTCAATCACAATTTAGGATCCAGTAAAATGAACATACTTAAAGCCAGTAGTATAATTGAAACATGGGTGCTGAAAACTGGTACCAATATTTGCAACATTGGTCTTTTTCTAATGGTCAAGAGGTAGGACAGAGAAGTTGTGTGTTATTTTCTAGCACAGGACCTTTTTGTGAATAAAATCTTCACCTAAGATATTTTAGATCTGTATATGGACTGAGAGATCTGATTTACCTTGGTTTCTAATTTGAACACAGTATTGTCTTAAAGGTAAGAGCTGCTAGAGGTGTTGTTACACCAGACCATAACAAGTTAAGGGGGGTAAGTTTCTAAAGAAACTGTGGTGCTGTGTATGTGGGAGAGTATAACAGGGTAACTTGCTATCATCAACTGAGTTGATAAGTAAACAGAAATTGGCCACCCGTAAGAGTTTCAAAGCTGAAATTTCAAGTGTTAGCCCCTTATCAGAGCAAGAGTTAAGGGCTAATGCTCTAAATGTCAGCTTTGAAACTCTTAACGGTGGCCAATTTATGTTATCAACTCAGATGATGATACCACATTACCTCTGTACAAGGTAGACCTGGTACCAAGTAATCAAAGGGTGGATGATGCTACCCAATAGATAAATGGCTATCCAGGGGATAAGTGATAGCAAGACGTACTGTGCTATCTACTAGATGCAGCCTGTGTCTTTAAGTAATGAGTGGCTTCGACAGTTGAGTAACAGTCATGGTTGTAAATAACGGTTTTATAGTAATGTTTCATGATCTAATAAACACTAAATTGGACTCGAAACCATCCTCTGAGGCATGGATAAAATGGCAATTACCCACAAATCTGGCATTTCTCCTATTTCAATAGATAGCGTGATGTTTAAGAAGGAGGGAGCCAAAATCCTGGCCCTCTAATGTCAAAATTAACCACTGAGAGGGTAATCCTTTTGTAATTCTTCAAAAAATGTTGTTTCCAGGAGGAAAAAGCTTGGTCTTTTTCCAGTATGTTTTATCCAGCAATCGAACATGACTTTGTAGACCTTTGGTGGGCACTTAGGTGGACAAGGTAGTCGATTTCCACTTTCTAGAAAGTCAGAGAGCTGTGGGTCAAAAAAGAAGAATTAAGTTTATTTTAGAAAGAACATAAAAAGGGTTGATTCATTTTAGCATGCTGTACGGAACTCAGGGATTGAGGCAAACAAAAAGTAAGGACTACAGAGCTGGCTAAGCCACAGAGTTTGACCTCGCAAGCTAGGCTGAGTGATTTTCAATTACATAAAATATTAATTTCAATAAGGTGCAACTACTGTCATTTCTACTTTTTGTGTGGCTTTAACTCCCAAAGTTTCAGGTGTCACACAAATATCAATTTTTTTGTTGATTCTTTTTAACTTGCAGTGAGTTTACTTCTGTGAAAAAAAAGGGAATGCTCTTAGTCTTAGCATCATAACAATTGTATGGCAGACAGCAAGGAGCATAAATTTACTAACAAGATCCGGGAGTGAAAGGAGTAAAAGACATTTCTCATCTCTCACCTTGCAGTTTTCAACATCTTTGTATGGTTTCTCCCCAAAGGAAAAAATTTCCCACATAGTCACTCCAAAACTCCAGACATCACTTTTTGTTGTGAATCGTTTTTCTAGCAAACTTTCCAGTGCATACCTGGAATGAAGAGTACAATAGAGAATTTAAATTTACCAAGCAAAAAAATTGGAACCCAAAGTGAAAAGCAAAACTGTGAGGCAGTTATCCAAGGTTTTCAGTCAGAGGTCCTGAAAAGTAACTTTTAGGTGCATGTCAATTAGAGAATAAACAAATTTAGTTTCAATAACCAGCTGAGACAATTTCTTTGACCAAAAAAGTCTGATTCCTACTGTTTTCCCATGGTGAAGGTTTCGCATCTGAAGGGGTGAGAGGAAGGCACAAAATTTCTGGGTCAGTCTGAAGAAGTGGAGCAAAGAGAGACCAATGCAATTCCAGATTCCTTTTAACCCTTTATCTCCAAATCAGGAAGAAGTTTTTATGGTCAGAGCGATCAACGATTAGGGCTAATGCTTGAAACATCAGCCTTTAACTCCTTACAGTGATCAATTTACATTTTCAACTCAGTTGTTAACACTAAATTACTTATTTACAAGGAGTTGTGTAGCAGCAAGAGGAGAGAATTAACAATCAGATCTTAGGAGTTAAAGGATTAACAATTGATTGACAAAAGTGTTAAAATAAGAGCAGTTGTTTCTCCAATTTTTGCTCCCTCTGTCAGCTATTATAAGACAACCTTTATACCTGACAGTAAATAGTTTGAACCTGGAGGTAATGTGTGTCTGGTCAAGAGTAGTCCAGAGAAAGGCTGTTGTTGGTAGTAGTGACTGATGTTTCAACAACCTTAGTGGAAGTCATCATCAGAGTCCAAAAAAGAAAAAGAAAAAAATACTGCTTAGGTTGGTGAATGTCAGTCACTACTGACCACAACAGTTCTTCTCAGGACTACACTCACTCAGATGATCAAACTTTATTACTTCAAATTAAAGCTACCATCACATTTCCTTACAAAAGAAATGAATTTACTAAAAAAATTGCTCTCTTACCACTTGATAGGCACTTTGCTGGATTCCTGAAGTTTGTAGTATTCTTCCAACCTGGAGAGTCCAAAATCACTGATCTTCACCAGGTCCTCCCGCATAACCAGGATATTCCTTGCAGCAAGGTCTCTGTGAAGTAGTTTTTGAGTTTCCTAAAAGCAGTAAATGTTTTAATTCACATCTTCCTCTCCAATGTATCCTAAATAGGCTTAGGAAAGTCCTCATTTGGACCTGTAGCAATATCACATTTTGAAAAGCATAACTGTTCCTAGAAATACTCCACTCCAAGAAGCACTGCAAATAACTGGCCAAAAAAATGACTAATGTTCCTCTTCAGGGGGGAGGGGTACAATAGCTTTCTTATCAGTGGTGGTGAGGGACTATTTTAAAACACATTTATGGGAACATGATTGTTGCCCAGGTTAAATGATTTCTGGGTAAAGTAGGCATTTTTTTATGTTGGAAAACCAATGGTTTTTAATGCTGATACCAGAAACTGATACAAGTTTTGAAATAGAAATTTCTTTTCAAATTGAAAGCTACAAAGCCCAAAGGTGACACAACAATGCTAGAGTTTTTATCTGAAGAAAGGGAAAGGGTAGGGCACTTATCAGTAAGGGAGAGCTATTGGACCTTTCATGCTATGAAGATTCTAAATGACAGACCATGCCCTGATCAATTAGGCTTTCTACCATCTAAGGACAGACTTCTCTCAAAATCATAGCTATAGACAAGGTTAATATTCTTTAATGAGTATACAAAGGAACCTTGAAGTTTGTAATCTTACTTTTGAGTGAAAAGTCTATTGTTTTTAAATGTCTAAAGGTCTCTATGTAACATCAGCAGAAGACAATATTGTCATGAATCATTCAGGCATACCAGGTAATTCATTCCTTTGCAAATTTGCAAACAGAATTCAAGGAGCTGTGGTGTTTGAAGAATTTCCTTTTGAGAAAAAAATAGTACAGTCATTATCTCAAAATCAACCTCTTCTCATTTTGTTTCACTGTTAACTCTTTAACTCCCAAGATCTGACTGTTACTTCTTTCCTCCAGCTGCTACACATTTCCTTATAGATTAGTTATGAGAATTTTTAGTCAGATCAAAAATAACAAGTTAAAGGGTTAAATAAATATAGTATTTATGGACTATGGTTGAATTATGTGCATATATATGTAATTGATAGGCAAATTAAAATAATATCCGGTAGAATAAAATTTCTGCTCTATTTTAATTACCTACTACAAAAATTTACTACATTTGGCCATGACCAGAAGAAGAAGTTTGCCTGCAGATCATAATTTATTCAGAAGTCCAAAGGCTTTTGTGGATATTTATAATTGAGAAGGAATTTGTTCATCAATAAACACTAGTAGAATAATTTTAAGTAACTCATCACCCCCACAAATTAAACAAACTAGTAATAGGCTTTGCCTAATAGCTTTCCTCTAGGTCAGAAAATCAACTTTATCAGTGAGTACCGATCTGCTTCAGCAGGCTAAACCACATTGAAATTGTTACGTAGTTTCTCTGTTCTAAAAGGGAAAATTTTAATGTAAATCTGTATCCCACCTTGTTTTTGGGTAAGTACTGCACCAAAGCTCCCAGTGGAGCAAGCTCTGTCACCAGCATAAGTTTTCCTTTCTCATCTGAAATAAGAGATAACATTTCCAACTTTAGACTATCTATGAGTCAAATTTTTGCAGGAAATATTAGGAATCAAATCTGAGCAATGCAGATATTGGGCAATACACAGGTGTCAGTACCCACCTACAGTCAGGTGGGACATATAATTCTAGTTTTAATTTTTTGCAGTTAGTCTCATAATGGATGCTCATGTGCTTAAAAATGCAATGGAAGGCTTGTTGTTGGGCACAGTGACTTCCAGGAGTAAACATGGATACTGGTCTGTTAACCCTTTAACTCCCACGAGTGACCAAGACAGAATTTCTCCTTACAATATCAATACAAAATCAACCAGATAACTAATGAGAATAAAGAAAAATATCAATTTGGGGATAATTAATTGGTCTGATGCTAAATTCTCTGGATCAATATCAGTATCTGGGCAACTGCCCACCTACCCCTCCCCTAACCCAACATTAACCTCAACTTGTTCTCAATTGACTGTTGTTGACTTAGGGGAGGGGTAGGTGGGCAGTTGCCCAGATACTGATATTAATCCAATTCTCTTAACTAACATTCTAAGAATTGTATGGTTAACAGTGAGAAGAATTACAAATTTGATCTGGGAGTTAAAGGGTTAAAGTTTTAGGCTGGCACCTGTTGAAATCAAATAATGCATGTGTGTGATGCAAAATAATCTTCAAGTAGGGAAAAATTGTTGATAAAAGATCCTTTTCATTTACCTTTGGAGACTCCACGAAGTTTGATGATGTATTTACAATCCTGTTTTGATGCTAACAGAACCATTGTTTCTACTTCCTTGATAAAGTCAGTAGAGTCCTTAAGTGATGCCTTGTCTTTCAGTACCTTGACAGCAACTTCATCTCTCTAAGGGAGAAAAGTTCATGAGTAATGGATCATGACTAATGACATACTCTCAGTATTAATCAATAAGTTACTGCTTACCCTTAAACCCCTATGAGGGTCTGGCATCTAATTTCTCTTTACTGTACTACCCTTAAATTGTGTATAAAGGTCATGAGAATAAAGAAAATGATCACCATTTTAAGAAGCTCCTGATTGTCAAACAAATTCTCCTTTTTGGTATCATAGAAAACTTAACAAGAAAAGTGTGGAGAATATGAATGCTAATGTTAGGGTGGATAAGAAAAGGTACATATTCATTAATTTAAGTGTTACTCAGATATGTTTCATTTACATTGTAAAAGAGCATTTTTTAACAATCTTACAATACTGCATGACTAGCAAATTAACAGAGTGACAAGGGTTTTGACTTGTCACAAGTTTTATAGCCATTTTAACAATGCTTTGACTAAATTACTGTTATGGTTGTTGTTGAAATTACCTTGGGAGTTCCCATCTGATTCGAGGATACAATGCTTGCTTTCCTGACTTCACCAAATTGACCCTGTGTTTGTTGGCAACAAAGAAAGAGATATCAGCCATTGACAATTCTAACAAGTGATTGTCAGGGACTTTTGAAAGACAAGATCAACTTTCTCTTCCACTCTTGTGAAGAACAGAAGAACAAATTGAAGCAACAAAAACATTGAGAGGAAAGAGAAATTAGGGCAATTTACCCGACCAAGAATATCTTGCAAATTCAAGTCTTCAGATGGTATGAGAAGCTGAGCAGGAATCTTGCTCAAATCCAAAGTTGGAGGTTCCTCTGTACAGGAAGAGGTTGAACCTTGATTAAAGGTAAAAAGAAAACACTTTTATTCTCTTGAACTTTCAGCAAGTACGAATTCTGCTGACTATTTTATCATCATGATAGTGCTTTTCACTAACTGTTTGTAAATGTTTGTAACAATTATAATGACACAATCTTTTGAAAACAAATATACAGTCTGCACTTGAGCCCAGTGGCTCACCCAGCAAAAGCCTGTCCCGGTTCCTTAGCATGAAGCAACTAAGAGTATCACTACTCCCCCCTGGATGAGAGGCCACTCCACAGTAAGTTTTCTCCCCTAGCATTTCATCAAGATTCCTACACAATTTGCCAGTACCTATTTATATTCCTGAGTGGAGAGAGGCAATGCACAAAAAAAGCACTTCCCCAAAGAACACAACCCACTGACCAGGCCAGGTCTTGCACCCCTACCTCATTAGGCCACCACCTCTCCTGCATCAAATACATGCAAGGGTATTTAAGAGGGGTTTAAATTCTATATAATTATATCTAAAAACGAACATGGACTTGACAGCAAGACTGCATACCGATTGTTGATCTCCTAAATCCCATGTTACTTCGGGAGGGCCAGATTCCGTCAGATGATGAAGAGTGGCTGAAGGAATCCAATGGCTCTTGCAATTCATCTGCGAAAAATTTGTAACTTGGATTTACAGGTCTTCCTTGTTGTCCCTCCACCTTCCTGTCATGATGTCTTGAGATTCCACCTGTTGAAGCATTGATTGCATAGTAAAGAAATAAGAGGTGGCATGTAAAATAAACACAAAAGGAAAAGAACTTTCCTGGCATTAAACTATATGACAAGAAATAATGGTCAGGAGAGTATACCTAAAAACTTTAATACAGAAAGAAAGACATGACTAGACTTTAACCCTATACACCCTAATGTCACTATGCACTTTCTCCATACTGTTCTTCACACATTCCTAAGGTGCTGACAAGGAAAATTTGTTTCACAATCAAGAGCTTCTTTATTAATTTCCTTTATTTTCATGATCTTATTTACTGATCAATTTAAAGCTTCGACATTCCCCCCCTCCCAGGCAGCCCACTGTAATTTGACCCTCATCTGTGCCCAGGATGGGGAATTTGAACTTGCCTGGCTGGTGTGGGGAATTTAAACCTGAAGTGTCAAGTCTTTTCAGCATAATATTGCAGGTGGTATATCTTTAAATACAGATGTTTTAAAAGGCAAATAGTTAACTTCTGTGAGTAAATAGCTCAGAAGAAAAGGTCTACTAGTCTAGGTTTGAAAGCTAGGTCAATGTGTAGAAGGTCATGGTTGCTTCTTTTGCCTTTTTGGAAAAAAGTGACCACCAAATCAAGTACTTGAGTTGGGTATTTGAGGCCCAGGGTGGGGGGAATTTGAACAAACCAATCTTCATAAGTTCAAATGCCCAGGGGGGCTCCCCAGAGGGCGGATGTTGAAGCTTCAAATTGATTGATGCATTAATGTGTGATTCGAGGGTGAATTGTGAGGAGAATTAGAGGCCAAAAGGTTGACTGAAATTGGGTAAAAAAAGGTTGATATAATATTGAGCTAGGTGGTGTTGTGGTGGGCATCAAAGGGCTTAAGAAGCTTGAAAATTGATTTTTGTAAATTTATAAAAGTTTGGTATACCTTTCAGGTCACTCTCTTTCTTGTAATCATGACTTTCTGAAACATTTTCTTCAAAACCACCTCCGGCTTCCTGATCATCATTAAGTGAACAAGTGTCTTCTATTCCTGTCTCACCAATCTGGCCCACAAAGTGGTCTTCTTTGAAATCAAGGTGCTCAGATGGTTTATCCTGTTCTTTTGAAAGGTTGTTCAGGGTAAACTCTTTCATTTCCAGATGTTCTTGTGCCTGGTCAAACATCAAGATGGTGTTTTCAAATAGACCTGGATGCAATGAAGTGTCTTCATTTTCTGTGTCTTCAGCATCTTCATCTTTACTCCCCTCTTCAGAGTTTGTTTCCATCATCTCTGGCAGAAGAAAGCAAGCTGACTCAGTTACTGGGGCCAATGGATCGGCTAATCCTGGGAATTCTAGACCATGCCCACTAATCCCTCTCTTTGTTAAAGTTCTAGTTCTATCTTCTTGCTTGTTTTCATCCTCTTCCTGATTGTAAGCCATCACACACGAAAAGCCTTCAAGACCTTCAAGCTCTGTATCTTCATGGAACTTGGAATCTAAAGGGATATTGTCCTTGTCTTCACATGACTGATCTGGTATGTTATTTGCATATAATCCCAGAGTATCATCCCGAAAACATTTACCCAGGCTCAGTTCTGCATTACCACAAAAATCTGCACTGTTGATGTCACTTTCCTCTTGCAGGTCAGTAATTAAGGGGGAAAACCCTTCCTCAAGTGAACAATTATCAATTTCTGACAACAGCTCAAGAGAAAATGATTCAGTCTCTTTTGTAACACAATTACTAGTAAAAGAGGCTAAAAACTCATCTGGTGATGTGCAAGAAGTTGTGATAAGTCCACTATCTTCATCATCCGAATGCTCGATTCCTTCTGGAAGATCATTGCTGCTGGAAAATTGCGCCACAAGTTCATTTGTAAACTTTTGCTGCTGACTCTGTCTTGCTGTTGAGTGGCTCTGATATGGGGAATCAACCATCTCCTTTACATTTTGATGTTCAGTAGTCTGGGTCATTTCACTTGTTGCAGCTATGTTGACTATAGCAGATGGTAGAGGTGTGGCTTGAACAGGAGAAGAACTGACTCCATTTTCTCCATGGCCTGTTGATGCAAGTTGCAAAAAGGCTGAACCTTTTGGTTTATCTTGTGGTTCTGATCCTCTTGTTCCATTGATAAGAGTAACATATGACCCAGCTCTAGATTTCCCATGTTGCTCTTCTGTATGACATGTAGGCTGGACAACCTTAGTAACTGAGCTATCCTTTGTAGCCTTTTCAAGACTGATGTACATAGATGAACCAAACTCGGATAACTGCTCAACGTCTTCTTCATCACCTTGATCAACATCACCATCAGGAATAACTGAGAACATTTCAAATTCTGTATCCACTGCTGATGAATGGAGGTGCTCATCAAGGTCTGACAAAATGAGGTGCTTCCCTAAGGACTGCATTGCTAAAGCCTCAGCTCCAGCTGTGTCATCATCGTTACTGCAGTTGTCACTGCTGCTTGTCTCTTCTGACTGTGCTTCAGTAAGGTCTTCTGTACCATTCCTGAACACAAGAACTGTCTGTTGGTTTGTTCTTGGCAATGCAGCCAAGGGAGCTGGAAGATATCTTGCTTCTTCTTGTGTCTCAGTGGGCTCCATCTGCTGTCCTGTTCTTTCAAGTGATCCTTCATTGCTAGTCTGGAGAGATGGAGGACAAGAACTGATGCCAGTGCCACTTCGTTGTCTCATAACATCTAAATTCTCTAGCCCCCTGGATGGTAAAGAACTTTCATACTCATTTTCAGATGTCAAACCAGGAACGGAAAAGGTCTTTGAGAGGCTTTTCTTCCTTGAAGTTGCATTGTCAAAGAGGGATATGCTGCTGATTAATGAAATGCCAGGAAGTGTGGTGTTGTAGTCTTCACCACCGTCAGTACCAGGAAGGCAAGAATAGTCCACATTGGAGACCTAGAAGAAGAGAGATGACACCAAATTAGCAAATTGGGACCTTGTACAGATTTTTAGCAGATGATTGATACACTCTGGACTTTCCTGATTTTTGGCTGAAAAGGGGCATTTTCCAATTGTCTGTCAACTTGCAATTTAGATAAACTGGCATGATCAAATGGATGCAGCTGATAGTAAGAATAAAACATCAAAAATACAAATACTTACTAACCAAACAAAGGCAATATATAGATTAGATCCAACCTATGAAATTTGCCTTGAATAAAAAAAAATGTCAAAGCCTTCCAAATCAGTTTTGTACCACAAGAATCTCAAAGGTCGCAAGTTCTTTCTATTACAAGGTATATGTCCATGCTACACCCTTTCTATGCACAGTGTGGGAAATTAGTATCACAGAGTAAGCTAATTCTGGCCGTGATATGATTCAAACCAATGCCTCCCAGATACTACTTTGATGCCACTATATAATGAACTGGAAGATGTGGTGCCTGAATGGTCAGTGCACTGGATTCTGGGTCAAAAGGTCTAGATAGCTCTGAGACCTGGCAGGGTAATTGTGCTGTGTTCTTAGGCAAAACAATTCACTTTCAGAGTGCCACTCTCCACCCAGAAGTATAAAAGGGTACTGGCAAGTTGTCAGGGATGCCAGATGAAATGCTGGCCTAGCATCCCATCCAGTGGGGACAATGAACACTCCTAGTGGCTTCATGCTACCAAAAGTGGGATGAGTTGCAGACTTTATCTTACCTATACCCAATGAACTGTGAAGCCATGTGTTGATCAGGGCATGCAGGGATCTGATCACATTGAATTAAATGAGATAAATAGTTTCTTAACTTGTGGAAGGTATGCTATGGCAGAGAAAAGATCTTTGCTGGTTAAGATTACCTGAGAGTCTGTCTGCATGGCCTGTAATTCCAATTCATTCTCAGAAGATGACAGAATTTCCCAATCTTCCACCTCCATGAAATCAGGGGGGAGGAGGATCTGGGAAGCGTCATCATCAGAAACTAGAAACAAAATAAATTTCTGTTAAATATTTAGGTCACTTTTCTTGGAGTTGGTGTGTCCCTCAACATATAAAAACTGTTTCTGTATTCAACTACAGCACTGAAAGCTTTGCTACCTCATTTGTAAGGGCATAAATTTAATTGAACAATCTCAGAAATTCATCACCATTTAAAAGGAAACAGAAAAAGGGAAAACAACAAAATCTATGAAATTATGCTGACAACAAAATGATACCTGTATCAACTATACTGGGAATAAAAAAATATCATCCATTTTAAATCCATTGCAAATCTAGGCAAACCCTCTAAAGTTAGCCCCATTGTCGTTACTTAGACATCTTCCATGTCCAAGTGTCAAACATTCCTAAAAAGAACATCCCTCTTATAACCTTTGACTGGTAAAAACTTCTTTTCTGTTAATTTTTGTAGTAAGCCATCTTCAATCAAAGTCAAACTCAGTACTCTTAGACACTAGAAAAGCAGACTGCACCAAAATCAGCAGTGAAAGTCAGATAACATGATTGACTCACTTAATTGTGGTGATCGAAGCTCTGTCACCAAATCCCTGAAACACATTCTGTCCTGTGGGGTGTAAGACAGTAATATAGTAATGATTAATTAAAGGGGTTTCAATGAAATTTAATATATGTAAATGCCCTCGTACACCATAGAGAGCATGTCTTATAAAAATAACCTAGTTTTATCACAATCCACTGAGTTGCTGAAGAAATTTAAGAAGGCCACCATAGAGAGTTTCTAAAGCGGATCCTTAGAGCATCAGCCCTTCCTTACAAGACATGAGCAAGAACTTTACTTTCTTTTCAACACAAACATTTATTAATAAATAAAATTTGAAAAAAAAACATAATTATGCTAACCTCTGGTTTGGGAGCAAAGCATCTTTTAATTAGATTTGCCACACTTGCTGGACAGTTTGGGCTGAAACATAATTTTTAGAGTCATTGGAATCTTAAACTTATGATTCAAAATACTAGTATAATTAACTCATTTCATGAATATTTATTAGTGAAAGAATTTCTTGCATAAAGGGCCCAACAAAGACTTTTCCTCACCTTTTGGGAACAAGATAATGTGCTGCCATATATCGACTCCTCACCTGTCAAGGGATATTGGTTGGACAATGTGAAGCACTAAGTGATTAATACATGTACAAGAAGTTCCATATCGTGTTTTCCTTCACTCAAAAACATCATTGCTTTAAATACAAGACAATTCCTTCAAAAAATGGGTGGTGGAACAAGGGGGAGGGGGGCTTCATCACTCCCATCCAAAACTTAAGGGGCTCAACCTAAGTCACTCCACCTCCCCCCCCCCCCCCCCAACACTTCAGTGCCGACAATATTGCTAATGCAGCTTAAAATTAGTTTGACAAAATATTTAGTCTCGAAATCTCTCCAAATTGTTTCATCAGGATTGTGCTCGGCAAAATTAGATGTGGTATGACTGTGGTGTTGCCTGTGTTTGAGAAACCAAGTATACCTCTGGCCCCTCACACTTCAAAGTGTTCTGCTGCCTCTACTGAATTATAAATTGTTAACCACTGCTTGAAGGAAAAGGGAAGCTCATACAGCAGCATTTCTTCTAGAATAGCCATGTCATGGAGAACAGGATAAATGTTTTATTTATGAACCTCTCTTGCCTTTTAAGACATCGTATTGCACAGGCCTTGTTACATTGATATTTTGACTTGCAGCAATGTACTTCACTTTATAATGTCACCAGTGGCTTAAAAGTATTTTCAAAGACAAACATTTTAAATACCTCTTCATAAGACAACACATGGTCTGTGAAAGAACAATGATAAGGCTTCTTCATTGTAAACAATTCCCAGACTGTGACTCCAAAGGACCAGATGTCACTTTCCTTGGTGAATTCCTTGTCGAGCAAAGCCTGAGGTGACCACCAACAGTAACTATTGAAGACATGTTGGAGGTAAAGTTAAAGGTAAAGCACAACTGTTACAGTAACTGTTTCAGTATGATGTAACAGGCAGAACATTGGGGTTTGCCGTATTGCGGTATTGGACAATTTTTCTTGTAGTATTTCCATAATTTTAACACCAACTTGCAGCACTGTGGTATTCCTCAAACATGTGGTATGGTTTTTTAAAAACATTTTAGACAGTATTAAGTATTATCCTCCAAGTTCTACAACGTTTCCTTAGCCTTTTCCAGTTTCTAATTGTTTCGGAAACAGGCTGGGACAGGACCTCAGACAGCTTTATTTTGATAATTGTTGAATGTTGTCCTTCAGTAGCATTTTAGATAAAACTGACAAAAGTTCAAATGAGGCCTTAAACTACTGCTTTTGCCAATCCATGGCATGATCCTCTGGTACTAGAAAGGAGAGTGTTTGGATATAGTTTAATGCTACTCTGGTTTACAGATTTCATGAAAGTAACTGAGAACTTACAATTCAAAGACCCAATGTTTTGATACTCCTGTCATGTACCTTCATCATCACCCCTAATGAAGGCACTAGACAGGAGTGTTGAAACACATCACAAAGCCTCTCACCTGTGTCCACTTTGGGACCCATGATAGAAGCTGTGACCATTCTTTTGAAGTTGTATCAGGTAGAAATCACTGAGCTTGACACATTCTGAGTCAACGACTAGTACATTGTGTGCACACAATCTACCATGAACACAATCCTGGAATTAAGAAATAGGTTAATAATAATAAAATATATGAGAAATAACAACATCATGATAGAGTAGATGAGAATGAGGTAAAAATTAATACTCTTTGAATGAAATAAAATTTAAAAAAATCCAATTGCTCTAATGTGGTTTTCACTGCAGATGGCCACAAATACTACACTGTTGTGACTGATAATTTGGCTAAAACAACTTTAAATTTGGAATTATCTAATACGAAGCTACCATCATAGGCTGAGCTTGTCTGGTTACCTTGCTGTGCAAGAACATCATCCCCTCTGCAATCTGCATTAAATATGAAACAAGCCTGGAAATTGTCATTCCATTTTCTTCTTTACCGCTGCAGAAAAAAAATTGCAAAATAAAATTAATTTGTCAACTATTCTAATATTATTGCAAAAATTTATCTTTTGTTATCATTTTTTAATTGGAGTATGATGAAAATCAAATGGCCTATATCACTCTGTAGAAGACAGCCATCTGGAATAATAGGACAATGCTTTTATGGGTGGGTGTATGTCAAAATTAAAACCTCAAGGTCCCTCATTAAATGTGTATTTTAAAATTGCAATTTGTAGATTTCTTATCAGACCCTTCACATGCCTTTTTCTTCTTTCATGTTGCTATTTGGAACTAGCTATAGCCATAGACAGAGTGATTACACTCAGTCAATTATGAAATTCAGGCAAATTTAAGGCAAAGAAGCCAGAAGTCTCAGTTATATCATCTCAACAGCTTGCATCACGTCCAGGGGAAGAAGTGCCAGTAGGGAATGTGCATGGCTTCTTTACCCTGTGTATTACCGCACAGTGATGAGCCTTAGAAAGGAGGAATTGAATGCTTGGTCTTACAACTTCACATGAAGTAGCTTATATTCATGTAGGAAGTGCCCCACTATGTCTCTTCTCTTAACCCTTTAACTCCCAAGATCTCATCAGTAATTCTCCTTACTGTCTGCTATACAGTTCTTGTGATGTTAGTTTGGAGAATTTGATATTGGATCAACTAATAATCCCCGACTTAATATATATTTTTTTTCATTCTCATCACTTGTCTGGTTGATATTGTATTGATAGTTTCAGGAGAAATTCTCTCTTGGTCACTCATGGGAGTTAAAGGGTTAAGAGCCCGATTTTCCAACACTCCCTTGCTGAAGGTGAGTGAAGGGGGGTAGGGGGGTAGGGGAGTAAAAGAGAGGAAGGGGATATGAAATTAATGGGATGGAGATAGAGAGGGTTACATTCTTCTATCCATGAGAGGATTGGGCCACTGTGTTACAGTTTATAAATGGTCACATTTAAAGGAATAACAACTGGGGTGGCAAATTCTGGTGATTAAGGTCATGTGTCCCATTACTTATCAATTGAAAGAGCAATTTACCTTTCATTCTTAACATATTGATCAAGGGGACCTTCTGGTACCCATTCAAATACAAAGATCAAGGCTCTTTCAGTTTCTTGTATGCCATAAAACATAGTCAGGTACGTGTTCTTCAGCTCTGTGAACTTGGTCATAAACTCTTTGAAGCTAAAGATTTTCTAGGGACATAAAATAATAAAATCATCATCCAATGATACTTTTATCCTTGATGTTACAAATTATTCATTTACTAGGCTTGGTTAGTTCCGAGTTGTGATAATTTTGTAGGCAAGTGTGTTCTACGTGACAGTGTAGATTGTCCCAGTGAGTGTACTCAGAAGGACTGTTGGCATTAGTGATGACTGACATTTCAACAACCTAAATGGAAGTCATCATCAGAGTCACTTGCTAAAATGTCAGTCACCATCACCCACAACATTCCTTCTCAGGACTTCATTCATGTGGGTGATCAAACTTAACTACCACATGTTATCCATAGGTTCAACCAAAGACTGCTCTAAGTTAGCAAATCTGCTTTCCAGCTCTTTGAAGTTTGTCAAAAGAGTAAGTGGTGCAGTAATTGAATGTTATACAATGAATAAGTCTTGCTACATGATAGATTTCTCAACAGTAGCTTACATTCTTTCCCAGAGGTTTGATCAGTGCCCTTGAGACCACCTGAAAATGTTCGTCTCCTCTTTCCCAGTAACCCTTCTTTACTTCACCAAATTCACCCTGTTACATATACAAAAGGTTTAAAGCCAGCATATTAGCACTGTGATATGAAATGTTGAGACAAGAAATCATGTTGATTACTTTGTCCATCCCACATGGAGAGTACTGCATAGGTGAATCACCTATTTTCATAAAAAGTTATCCTGCACAGGTGTTATTATAAATGATTTCCATGACAATGATAATGAGGATGACAACAACAGTGATGATGATGACAATGATGATGAAGTTTGACAGAGAAGTACATGCAAGAAATTTTACAATTTTCATCTGCCATTCACATGGATAACAAGGAAGTAAGTTTCTAAGGAAACTGTGGTGCTGTGTCAGTGGGAGAATAAATCAAACAAGACTTAGAATGTTCAAGGTTTCTATCTACTGATCAAGAAATGTATAGTATTGTAAAATTATAAAATTACTTTAAGTTGTAGTGTTTTACCGATAGCAAATATGTCTCTTCATCCAGATTCAAGTCTTGTAGTTGGTAAGAAGAATCAAGGAGACGAACTTCTGGTACAGCAGGTGTAAAAACCTGTCTATCAAGCAATGCTGCAAAACCTAATAGAAAAATAAACAATTGAAGCTACTGGCTATAAAAATTCAATACCTAACAGCTGTGTGTGCAATTGGAGTCTACAATTTCAACATTTCAACTTTAAGGGGAACCATTTAAATTTGGTATATACCCCCTTGAGGTAAGAAATAATACCTTGCCTACAAGGGCTGAAAAATGTTTATTCTCTGGGCATTTCATTCCTTTTACATCCCTTTACATCCCTGTATATTGTGTAATGTACACCAAACATTGCTATGCAATTGCTACCCAACACTGAAAGATGCAATGGAAATGCCATAAATTGAATATTTTAGGTTACCATGAGATGTTCTCACAGATTTTATATCAAAAGTAATCCAATGCTTTAGAAAATCAAGGGTCTGTTACTTCAACTTAAGATAAGTGAGAATCCATTGTCACAGGTCACAGAACCATCTGTGGAATTGCAACAATTCAATTCTAGGTCTAAAACAAACTTTCAGAATCAACAACACATTACTTAAATATATATATATCTTTGTTCCTTGTTCTACAGACTAAAAGTAAGTTTGTGAAGGTACATGCTCCTTAAGGCATTGGACAACAATTTAACATAATCCTTTGTTGCTGTCAGTGTTAATTAAAAATATCACCTTCACAATTTGGTGGAAGCATCTGCTTCAAACAAACAGGAAGTCCATCCTGGAGTGGAATGCAAGTTAAACATAAGTATTCTTTAATCATTTCAAGTTTGGTCATAAATAACTAGCTAGTTAATTCGTTTTAAATGCAGCAGTTAAAATTTCATTCTAAATTTTTTCATAAACAGATAAGTCCTTCTGCTGATTCCTCTGCTAACCCTTTACATCCTAACATCAGTATGCACATTCTCTATACTGAACTTTACACATTTCTTAAGGTGCTGATAAGGAGAATTTGTTTAACAATCAAGAGCTTCTTTAGTTGGTGATCATTTCCTTTATTCTTGTGACCTTAATGTGTGATTCAAGGGTAATACTGCAAGGAGAAATTAGATGCTAATCACTCTTGGGGGTTTAGGGGTTAATGATTTATTTTGCTGGTAAAATAATGAACTCACTGCTGAACGTTTGTAATGTTCCACCAGCCCCTTTAAATCAGAAAATCCTTTGCTTGAGTCACTTTCGTAGCAATACATTCCAGTTTCAGCAATGAATTTGATAACAAAATGCCTGACTTTCTCTGCAACGCAGACTGAGAGTATATAGCTGTCATAGACCTCTCGACTTTTTCGTAGCAGGAAAAAGCCATCTTTGGTTCCTCCTTCTACTGTTCCTCTAAGTAGCAGGTTTGAGGCTCTGTCACGCCTGAAAGGATGATTAAGAAATTATTATGACAGAAGGAGCATGAATAGCATGGCCCTAGGACAAAACAAAACTCAAGAACCCGGTCTTAATCTACTGGGTAGTTTAAACCCTTTATACCTTAAAATCAGTATGCATTTCCTAAGGTATGGTGCTGACAAGGAGAATTTGTTTAACAATCAAAAGCTCCTTCATTTGATGATCATGTCTTTTAATCTTGTGACCTTAACATGTGATCTAAGGGTGATATTGTAAGGAGAAATTAGATGCTGGTCACTCTTAGGGGTCAAAGGGTTGAATTAAGACATTCACTTACATGATAGGCCCATGAAGTATAGCAGGACTTAAGTTCTTGGAGCCTAGAAAACAAACATACAAATAAACAAACAGAAATAAACATAAAATGTGTCATTACAGAGGAATGGTTCTTTTTTTTTTGTTTATTTCCAAGAGTTCAATCCTTAGCTACAACAGAATAATTCGGTCAAGATGTACAGATTTGGAGCAAAACCCAGAAGATCTCATTCCTCCAGTCAGCAAATTACTAACCTTGTAGAAGCAGCTTGTACTGGTTAACCATCAGTCTGTAATATCCCTCGATGAGAGTGATCAGGGAATATGCATCATTTGTGGAACTTGCTTTCAATATCTGAAAATTTTAAAGACCCATTCAAGCCAATTACAAGCTAGGCAATAATTAAAAATTTTTTTCTGGCCAAGAGGGGGCAACAAAGCAAAGGTTTGAGGTAAAGAGCTCTGTAGAAGCCAATTTTCCAAAACTAGTGACTTGCAAAAACCACCTTTCAAAGGAAATATTTAATTAGGTTCAAACTTTTTACCCAGAACTCCATGGACAGATGGCATAAAAAAAAAAATTGCTTGAAATTTTTTTGAGAGAGAGGGGACCATTGAGTCCATTGCCCCTCTGTCAGCTACAGCCTTGAATTACCATTCACAAAGAACATACCTACAGATACTACAGATACTACAGATACCACGGAGTGAAAGTTAGCTTGATCTATAAAGCTTTCCCAAGTTCATTTGTGTAGTCCCCAAAGAGCTCCTTTCCGGAACAACACTTGGTTATCAATCCTAAGGCTGCTTGAAACTTGCCATTGACATAAAATCTGCACTTATTTGAAGGATGTGGCAATGAGGATGAGAGATTAGAGAAGAGAGTTTTCCTGCCCCAGGTTGAGGGACTAAGAAGTGGCGGCAAGTCCCTGTTCCCTGACTAGAGCCAACCAAAAAATGACATTGGTTTCAAATACTTCTAGACTAAAATGGACTCACTGGGAAAAATTGAAAGAAATTAATTTTTCAAACAGAAACGCACTGGACTGCTTTCAGAAAGACTACATCTCAACCCTTTAACTTCCAAGATCTGATTGTTAATTCTCCTCTCTAGCTGCTACACATTTCCTCATATATTAATTATGAGTATTTGGTGTTAGATCAAGATAACAAATTCTACTTGATAAGTTTGAGTGACTTATTCTTATTACCTGTTTGTTGAATAATGAATGCCTTGGATATTATTGGGAGAAGTTACATGTTAATCACTTGTGGGAGTTTAAGGGTTAATATGCCATGTTTACATTGTTAAATTGTCCTAATTACCTCTGGATGATCATCCCTTCGAAATATTTTAAAGAGGTTTGTCATGTGGTCGAATTGTATTTCTGTTACATCATAAAACTTTTCCACTATAGGCTCAGGATTCTGAAATTGAATACAATCAATGAACAGTTAAGAATCATCTATTAGAGGTGTTTCACCAGCCCACAAACACAGAAACACAGTTTCCTTCAAATATGATCTAATAAACAGTGTTCTCCCTTGTTTTAATGGATGACAGGCAAAAGAAATTTTCAATCTGCTAGAGCAATCCTTTTAACTATTGAATTTTCAAGAATTCCCAGCAATTTTAAGCAGTAACAAGAGGTGTTACTGGTAGTAAATTTTTCCAGTTACCGCTTGAATAGGAGAACACTGTTTCATAACAATTTAATTGAATGTTGAAAAAGAACCATTCCAAGTTGGGGAAAAACCTCAGTTTAGGGGTGTGCTCTAACAGACTCAATGTGCTACAGGCTGCCCACTCCTGTCTTGAAGCAAGTAATAAAACTCCCTTTCATCAGAAGTTTTTGACCTATTAAGATCCTGTGGGCAATTCTCCCCTCTTACTCCCTTACATTTCCTTGTAAATCAGACAGGAGAATTTGGTGTCATATCAAGACAGTACCCTAGAGCTGATAATTAAGCTTGTCTGTTCTCCTAACCTGTCTGCTGGATGAATTACAGGAAGAGCAAAGAGAAGTTACATGTTGATCAGTTCTAGGAGTTTAAAAACAGGGCACCACATATTTCTAAGACCAAATCCTTCAGATACTTATTGACCCTTACAAGAGCACAGATTTGTAACCAGAAAAATTGTTTACCGAGAATGATATATAACTTGCCATCATTGTTTGATAAACAGCCAAACCTTTATTAAGTGGCACTGTATTAAGCAGTCACCCTGTATTAAGTGGTCAGTTTTAAAAGTCCTGAAGTCATGGAAGTCCCCTTCGTCATGGTAAATTTCACCTATATTAAGGGGTCACCTCTGTTGAACAGTCACGGTCACCCTTTAAATACTGAGTCCCAACAGCCTGTTTATCTTGTCCTCCACCTGCATTCAACAGTCACTCAAAGTGGGACCACCAAGTAAAACTGAGAATAATCTCCCAAAATCAGTGTTAGAAGCATTTGTGAGTGAGTTTTTGTACATCAAGTGGTCAATTATGGCAGAAAAGGTTGTTTTTATCATTTATTACCCTACCCCTTTTCTATAAAACCTGTATTAACCCATCAACATGTATTAAGCACTCACCCCACCACCCCTTGTAAGTGATCACTTAATACAGGTTTGAATTGTAGTTTTCATATGAACTTTCCAAATGAAACTTACACTGTTTTCAATGTCTTTTCTTTTTTTCTTAATTCCAAATGCACTGATGTGAACTTCAAACTTTCTATGACTGCTCCCATTTTCATTCTGGTAAATCTGTGAAGTGAATGAATATGCGACCATTAATTCAATTTTCTGGCTATACAGATTGGGAAGGAAATTATTCAAGCCAGTTTTATGGTCACAAAGGCCATTATGTCATAAGATTTGACCTGATATGAGTTAAGAGTGCAAAGAAACAATTTAAAATGAATATAAACAGTTATATATCCGTACTTGACTAACCCTTTACACTCTAAGATCAGTAGGCATTTTCTCCATGCTATTCTCCACAAGTTTCCTTAGGTTCTAACAAGGAGAATTTGTTTAATAATCAGAGCTTCTTTAGTTGGTGATCATTTCCTTTAATACCACGACATTATTGTTCAATTCAGGGGTGATATTGTAAGTCACTCTTAGGGGCACAAAGAACTAAACAGCTGACACAATATTCCCTTAGACTGCATATTTTAAATACTTTAAGAAGAGCAGATCAATACTATCCCAACATAGGACCCCAGTCTCCCTCTAAACAAAGTTGTGCTCTGCTTCTTGTGATAATAAAACTTTTAATGGGGAAAGATCAGGGAAGGTCTTGTATCGAAGAATGGTTCACTGCATGACAAACTTCTATCACTTTTGAACACATCCTCAACAGTGGCCACTTCTGTCTTAAATTTCAGGTCCCATACAGTTTAATTCCACTTTCTGTTGAGAACAAACCTTTTCAAAAGATAACTTGTGCACAAAAAAGTCTTCAGCCTTTTCCAGAGTGCTGATATACTGAATCTTGAGTTGGGTTTCTCTGAGAGACTCATAGTTTTCCAGATTCTCCTTAAGAAATGACTGTGTTTCATTCAGGGAATATTCCTCAAATATCCCTCTCCGTAGTAATGATTTAATTCGATAACGAACCCTATCAATTATTAATAAATTCAATTAGCAAAACAATATTTTTGACAAAATTAAACAAAATTTAAAATTAAAAATGAATAAAAGAAATCTTAATGCCCTGAAAAATGTATGGTTGGTATTTTTGGAGGTCACCTAACTGCATGAAAAAATTACTTAACTTAGCCCTTTACACCCTTACATCAGTATACATATTCTCCATAAGTTCCATGTGATGTTAACAAGGAGAATTTGTTTGAAGATCAAGAGCTTTATAAGTTGGTGATCATTTCCTTTATTCTTGTGACCTTACAGTGTGAATCAGGGGTGATATTGTAAGGAGAAATTAGATGCTGGTCACAGTTAGAGGTCAAAGGATTAAAGGTTATTTTGTGAGATTTAACTATCAACTTTTATTAAAGGTACTAAATTTCTCAAAAATTCAAGAGTAAATTATGCAATAGATTGAGTGCTTTTGGCCATTATTTCATGAAGTTGGTAAAAGAAGCCTGAGTTCCTAACCCTTTAACTCCCACAAGTAACCAAGACAGAATTTCTCCTTACAATATCAATACAATATCAAGCAGATAAATGAGATGAGAATAAAGAAAAATATCAATTTGGGGATAATTAGTTGATCCAATACTAAATTCTCTGAACTAACATAAGAATTGTATGGTTAACAGTAAGATCAATTAAAAAATTGATCTGGGAGTTAAAGGGTTAACCTGCTGATTTGGAGTACAGTCATTTCAATTTGGAATTTTACAATTATAGGTAAGATAGAGTCTAATCATCGATACAAGTCAAGTTATGCATGCATGAATTGTAAAAAAAAAATTACTTACGGATGCTCAATCACAACTTTTGGGTGCACTGGTGATTTTGGTTGTCTTGCTCGATAGATGATTTCATAAATCACCAACACTGCAAAATCTTTAGGATTATCAAATCTTCCTATTGCACCTGACAAGAAGTCTCTACGACACTGCAAAGCACATTTGGTGAATGTAGTATGTTAAATAACAGTTTAAAAAGTCTATCCACAAGTAACAATTTTGCTGTTTAAGAGCAAATCCACTCTCATTGAAATTGTGGATGGTATATATAGGTTTTACCACTAACACCCTTACATCAGTATATATATTCTCCACACTGTCCTACATTTCTTAAGGCGCTGACAAGGAGAATTTGTTCAATGATCAAGAGCTGCTTTAGCTGCTTTCAATGGCAGATATCTGCTAGCTGTTAGATCATTTCACACTGGCTACTTTGTAAATTGTAATCTAAGACTTAAAAGAAGTATTTTTAGACTGATTTTTCCTCTCAGGGAGTTTCAAATTTCTAATTTTTGACTGATTGTACCTTTAAGGGAATTTCAAATTTCTTATTTTTCTACTGGAGAATGCCCAGGGCACATCTGGAAAGGGAGCGCTGCTTTGCAACATGCCATAGATGCTTGATACAAAAGCGTAATTCAATAGGCCATTTTACAGTCCAAGCCTTTGATTTGGAGTGAGGCTGAAGGTGAACTTGTTGTGATAGAGACCAGTATCTAGTTAGCATGATAACAAAGTGATTCGCATTTGAAAAGCAGCAAGGTTTGTATCATAACAAGGTCACCCTTAGCCTTATTCCTGTTTGAAGGCTTGGCAACCAAGCACACCACTGTAAAATGGACTATTCAGCCACCCTCTCAGTTCAGCTCATACATCAATTGCATGATATCATGAATTATCAAGAGATTACTACACAGATGAGGGGATTGGAAACTACGCAGACTTTGAACTTGACATGATAACTCAATGTCCACAGCATACATTGGTTTATCAGGTCAATTTCTTGTGCTATTGTATATCGATTGAATGCTCTTGACCAATTACATTTTTTATAATAAGGCATGTATAAAAATGACAATTAATAACCCTGATTCATAGCAATTTACAGCTATTCAGTAAATAAAAAATTAAAAAAAAGATTAATGTATCAATTATTACATGAGGGAAAAATGAGCAAAAAATTGCAACACACACCTGATGAAAGTAATATTCAAATGCTTTCTTATCAATGTCCCTCAGCTCTAGGCCATGGCAGGCTTTGATACACAGTCTGAATGAGTAAACCTGGCTGGTACACTCAGCCTCATTAAGCACCTTGTTTGGATTAAGAAAATGTCTGCTGTCTACAGAAACCAAGGTGAAAAAATCCAATGCAACTGGGGAGATTTTGAGTATCTGGGCTGCTTCTGTGCAGACATCCTGTGCGAAAAAGAAAACAAACGTATTACAACAGTCAACCCACTGCACTTAGGCTCTGCTTGTCTAATAAGCATGGATAAAATTGTTTATTCCTTTTTAGGACCTGTCAAATGAGCACTGCTCTGAAGCTCTGTAACTTTCCCTTTACCAGTATCTTAAGTGAATGACCAAGATAGACTTTCTCCTTACAATATTGATACAATATCAAGCAGACAAGTGACAAGTAATGAGAATAAAAGAAAAAAACAATTAGGTGATTACTGGTTGATCCAATGCGAGATTTTCAAAACTCAGATTAAAAAAAAAATTGTTTGGTAGGCAGACAAATAGTAGGAGAGATAAATACAACTGAAATCCCATGATGAAATTGAATATCAGTCCCCCGGTACCCTCCAGTCTGAAGTTAGTATGTAAAAAATTCTGGGAAACCATTAAAAAAAATCAGTTATTAAGAAGCCTTTTGTTTGGCATAATACACAGTTCTAAGAGTTTTTCTCGGAAGAACAGGTGACCACCCACAATGCTCATTTAATAAGTATCCCCTCTAACCTCTTCAATCCTATATGTGATTGACAGCAGATTTCTCCTTGAAATTTAACTTATTACTCAAACACACAGACCACAAGATAAGTTCTTTTGATATTGACCAACTTCTCCTAATTCTTCTTCAAGAAAAGTAGAGTGCGAAAAGAGGAGAAGTTGTGTTTTGATATCAGGGTTTAGGAATGTTATGCCAAGCATGAAAACCCAGGTGTCACCTTTGAGGATTAGTATGTTTTCAGAGGAGGAGTTTGATTGGTCTCAGAGGAAAACCATTGGTTAGAGGTCTCTTTAAATAGTAATACATTTCTAGGAATTGAAATAAAGCCACCTTTGTAAACATTTATCTTTCTAAGAACTAATTACCATGCATATTTGCTATCAAAGCCATTAATTCATTAAGTGCTATTTCCTCAAGCAATTGATTGTTAACAGATTTAGGATTGTGATAACAAGCAGTATATAGTCTAGCAGAATAGTAGGTTTGGAAGGCTAACAGTCTTTTCAGTTTGCTGCAGATATATGTGCACAAAAAAACACATCAGAGTATAGGATTCTAATCAATAGGACAATAGTGACATCTCTAAACTTAGGTGTTAAATAATGGAACAGATGTCAACACCACTTTTATTGCACAAACAAAAGATTTTCCGAGAATTGTTGATCTCAGAAGTAATTCCTTTGATATTTGATGCTCAAAATATGTATTAGATTATGAAACTAACAAAAAAAACACACCATTAAGTTTGCCAAAACAGGTAATGAAGACACAAAATCATTTAATTGCGATGAGTTTCTAAACCACATTGTTTTTTAAGTAACAGGTGTTGCACTAAGTTATGTTTGACTTCCGTGGTAGAATGCTGATGGCTGTTACTATCCCTTGGAAACACGAATAATCTAATTAAGTTTATGCACTGATTCCATAATTGATCGAGAGGCTAAACAGTCTGCATTTAACGATATATATACTGTCGGTCACTTCTTAGCTGTCAAAACGTTTTGGAACGTAAAAGATCGAGAGCTCATCAAAAGAGACGGCCATTCATAAATTAAAAAATCAATCAAACAATTTAAATGTAAATGTTCGAAAAACTTGCAAAGATCGTTTAAAACGCGCCTAAATGTACCTAAAAACCGCAAAGTCGAGTCACCACCAGGAGGAAAATCTAAAACATAGGAGTTCACTATGAAATTGGGGACTATTTTTGCTGAAGGCTCTCAAAACAGAAAAACGACTATGGTATTTCGTGGGTAACACGTTATCCAATTCTCAGAAAAACCTCGAAACGAAGCATTTAAAACTCAACTTGGAGCAACACCGTACGTGATCGTAAGTTACTGTTTCATTTCTATCGATCGTGTCACGAGGACTCTAGAACGCAGGCAGTGTTTACATGAACTTTAGACCGAAACAAAGAAACTCCTTCGATCAACTAACGTGAAGAAAAGCTCAACTCACCCTAACGCTCAAGTTTGGACGGTATGCGAAAGTCAAATCTTCGTGACTCGACGCGAAAATTACAGTTCCTTTTCCTTCCCTAAGGGAAGTTGAACGAGACCATGGCCAAGTTCTTCGTGTACAAGCTTCCCTGACTCTTCTCCAAACTTCTGGACCGCCATTAACACCCATTCTTAGATTTCGTCAACATTTCATGTCTCAACGTTGTGGGAAAACTAGCAATTGTCGTTCGAAGCACAAATACATGTTTAAAACTACATTTTTCATTCCGGGAACTGCCACAAGCTATTCCGTTTCCGAGAAAACCCCATTCTAAGTGCCAGGCGTCCCTCGGGATGTTGGTTTTGACCGAGCTAAAACTGAAGCGAACCAATCAAATTTCGTCTTAGTGATTTGTCTCAGGAATTGGGAGGGAGGGGAGGATCAGGAATTGTTTATGGAGTAAAACTGATGACAGTCCCATGACTGGGACCCTTAAATTTCTACTCCAGCCTCAAATTATCGAATATTTCATTGGCTGGGCGTCAATGAGAGCAAATCACTTTTAATCTCTTTAGGTCGTTTTGTACCTTAGTCGAGAAATCTGCCTAAAATTGAGAGCAAATCTCGAAATGGTAGGGCTTCAAGGGGGAGGCAGGATGGATTTTTTTAGTCGCCAAATTACCTTTAGCCGCATAAATAAAAGTCGAGCTTTCGGAGAAATATTAAAATGCTATGACCACGAATCATCCAATTAGTCTGCTTTCCAAGAATTACCCCTTCATGGCGTGCTAAAGTCCAAGGTTAGCTTTTGCAAAGCTGGCGAGGCGTAAAGCCTAGAGGGGGTATTGAGGGTGTGTTTGTTGGAGGTATTTAATCTTAAAAATTGAAGACTTTTTTCCTAGAAAACCTTTTACGGAGAAGCTGGTTTTCACCAGAAAACAACGCGCACGTCAATGGCTATTGTTTTAAAATTCCTAGAAAAGGCTTTGAGGTAAATGCACATTTTATCAAAGTACACATGTCGAAGGCTGTCTGAGGTGCTAAAATCACAAGACGCTAATATTTGGAAGTTTTCAGTATAAAGATGAAATCTATGGACATCGGAAACTTCAACTTTAGTCCAACGGAGCAGTGATCATTCATGTGAGTTTATTATCAATTTTAGTTTTGGGAGAGCAATCTTTCATATTTCGAAGCAAATTCAGAAAATTCGCGCATTTAAGGTTTGCTTTGCTCGTTCATAGCCTGGGAGGGGAACTTCTTTCTTTGCTATTCGGTGATAGTTCAAAAACGAACGAAGAAAAACAATTGCAAGTATTAATTGAAAAGTTAATAAACTCGTTTTGTTTAGGCTGTTAGATAAAAATTGACAAAAGAATATTTAATGCCTCTGCCATAGTAGCACACACCCAGAATTTCATCCATACGGATCATTGTGATGAATCAGCCACGAGAAAAAAAAAGGAAATTTTTGAAATATAATTTCTTGTTTATGTTAAATTATTAGAGAATAAAACTGTCCATCATATTTTTTACCCATCGAGGCGGTCGTTTTGGACTGGCTATAGTCCCAGTTCAAGGTACTTATTCGGTTATGTAATTCATTTCTAGGAGAGTGCAAAGTCCAAATATCACCCATTGTCGAATCCGCTCACGCTCAAGGCCGAGCAGAATTTGTCAATAGTTTTTTCTGCACTAATGTGATACTGCCTAACAGGGGAAAGTAGTGTTTTCTCATAAGTGTTGCTGGTACAGCTGGTACAACGAAAATAAACTACTTGTAATCTTTAGAGTCCTGAATGATTTATCACCATCAGCGAAAGACAGAATCGAAGAACCTGGTTTTTTTTTATTGATTTCCACATTATATCGACAAAGAGCGTCGGGTTTTCAAAAGCTGAGCTATAAAAAAGGTCACTGACGAAACTGCTGTGTGGTCATTAAAGTTGTCTGATTAAAAAAATGCGAGGCCAGAAAACACCGAATTGTCGATTCGTAGGGAGGTCGTTTCATGCGACATGAAGTTAGCTTGGACTATTGAAATGAAGGAAAATCGTAATATGATTTGCCAGGAAGAAAAACAGTGAATAGGAAACACAAAACTACAAATTAAAGTGATGCGGATAGTTAAGATTGGTTGAATAGTGAAGACTAACACGGGAAGATTGAAACCTACTTGAGCAAGAATTTTTCCCGATATCAAGCATGTAATATCTGGTTTAAAAAAACTTAGATTAGATCGAAGATATTAAAGGGGTTCTTACTTTTTTCAGGTAGGATATGCGGTTCAAAAGGAATAAGGCTTTAAACCTCGATCACTATTGATTGCTACTCAATGGTGATGATCGGATCTTGAGAGATACACATGACTAAAACAACATAGAACTAATCACACATTTATTACACGGTTTTAGGGTTGCTGTCGTTTGTGGCAAAGAGAACCTTGACTGTGTCTCATCTTGTGACAATTCGGAACGAGAAGTTTTTGTCCTGTTCCCGCCAAGCGCTTGCTTAAAAAAGAAAGGATAAAAAAAGACAAGCAAAGCAAAGCTTGCAGCTGTTATCAGGTTTTTGTTTGTCAACACGCATTCACTGAGAACCTTATTCAGGCTGGCTGATTGTTGACACTGGGCCTACAAAGAGGGATTTTAAAAACTCAAGAACTGACTACCAAGTATGTCAAATATGTTAAATAAAGCTGAAGTCGTTTTATTTTAGCTAAGCAATGGTAACTTCCGATGTACATGCTTGACAGTGTGATTTGACTTGAGTGCAACCGAGACATGTCCATACACGCTTTGTCTCTTAAATTTAAAATAAAGGATAAGGGATTTTGATGGAAGAAAATCCTTGTGCTTTGTTAAGTCAAACAAAGTAAGTTAAACATGGAAGTTTGATCTACTTATTAGAAAAATCCCAACACCTCTTAATACGGGTGGCAAATAGCGCACGCAAAACATGCAAGAAAGTGAGGTTCTTTCCTACCCAAAAGGAAAAGAGGAGGCAGAGACTTCGAAGATTTGTTGTGTAGTAATATGTCGACGTGCTTTCGTGACTCCTACAAGACAGATTCAAAAAGTGATTTTCACGGCTTCAATGCCCAGCTCTTTTGGTATTCACATGCCTTGGGTAATACTGATGTCTCCGAAGGTGGTTATTTTTGGCTCTCTGTTGGTATCAGCTGTTCCAGAAGCGGTGGTTTACTAGTGATTTCCTGTTGATTAAACGCTTGCAATCAGCTCTCAAGATTTTAATAGAGACAGCTATTCCACAGATTCTTGGAAAAGTTTTGTAATGATTATAAAATCGAAGCAGCAGGACCCCAGAAAAATAGCAATAAAGCGTCGAGAGTGTAACACCCTGGAAATAAAGCGAAACATCTCTGAGACGCCCTTTAGTTGGACGGATGGCACTCCAACATGACCAGACATCTTGGTGAGTTCCTAAACCTTAGATTTTTAACATTACTGGGTAAATTATGGTCTTCGATGAATATGATCCTTGATAAATATGCACAATTTTCTTATTGAGTCAATTTTTCACTAAAGAACTCCATAGAGTTTACAGTTCCCGTCATTGTTGGCTAGTTTGTTATACAGTGATGATCTTGTGATTCAAACTCTAAGTTCAGTGAAACCCCAATGTACAGGGCGTATATCGTCGTTATTTTTTTTTCGCTTTATTTGGAATTAGATGTTTTCAGTTAGGCGTTCTTTAAATGCAGGACATTTTCCCTTTTAGTTTCTTACTATTATGAGCTTGTTTGATGCAAATTACTTTAAACTGATATTTCAGTTACATGGTTGTTTTATTCAAATAGTCGAGTAACGGTGTTTAAAAATTTCAAGTGGAGTACAAGTCAGATAGATGGATTGGATAGATAGATAGGTTCTTTTTTGAAATACATCGCAGCTCGTAGAGCTGAATTACGTATTTTCATTAAAATTCTAGTTGAATGTACAAACTTACAAATTGAATAATACCTGAGAGCTAATGAAAGTAATATCTAAAACATTTAAAAACTATAACCATCTTGCTGAAATCATATTGTTAAAGGTCTAATAATTTAAACAGTATTCACTAGGGCGTATGTTGCCATAGTAAAACTATTGTTAAATCTGTTTGTTTCACAGCGCGGTATGCTGAAAGATGGCGCGTGCCTAACGTTGTAAGTAGTATAGCGCGTCTGACTAGCAATTCCCGCGCGGCCTGGGTCCGAGTTTGAGTAATAATTTATTCATGCCATGTAGGTACACGTGTTAGGGTTATTAGATAATTATATTCATGACGTGTAGGTACACGAGGGTAAAAATTGATTATTTAATGAGCGAGTGTCCATGTCGGTCATCTTTGTTAATAGAGATAAGGGTCGGTTTGATTTATATATGGAACGGTAGCGTAAAATTCATCCATGTGGGATACCTATTTGTGTGATGCGCATGTGCACTCTTCTGATTAAAAATGTACGCATGCGCAATGCTTTAGAGCCAGTCCCTATGTGGTATGAATGTCACGAAATGTCCTATGGCTGGTACTTATGTGGTGTAAGACGTCACAAAATGTTACGTGTGACGTCATCTGCCCAGACTTGCCCACCCAAGCTAAATCCCAAGAGAACATACGGTCTAAACTTAGGACTTGCTCAAGAGTTGTCTAGTATTGCTTAAGACTGTCCGAATCTCTAGGGGTTAGGATTTATTATTTAAAGTGAAGTCGTAAGTAGAAGGAGTCATAAACATGCCTGTTTTTCAATATCCCTACGATTTTACGTGTGCATGCAAAACATGTAAATCGTGTATCAAATATAAAGAAATTATGGAAGAAGCGGCATGGAATGTCAAGATTAGGAACATAAGAAAAGCGTATGTAGAGAAACGTATGGAAGAGAATACAAAAAGATTACGAAATGTAAGTCTAAAAGATTCAGCCCAAACTTGCCCAATCTCCCAAGAGGGACCTGTCAATCAAGATCATATATTTTCCTTATAAAAGTGGAGTCGTTGTAGCAGTCAAATCACATTTCTTACTCCCAGAGTGTAAAGCAAGCATCAAGAAAGCAAGATGGAAGATAACAAGACTAAGAAGACATCAAAGAGGGTTCACCCTTATGCCAAGAAAGAGACTTTGAAGAATAAGAAAGAATGGGCTAAGACAAAGTTGAAAGGTAGTCTCGTTATAGATGCACTGCC